TTCAGGGCCCATATGTAATCCTTGTACTAGGAACCAGTTTTGCTATTGATCCATGTTCTTTTTTTAAAATCAATGTAGTACTTTTAAGATTCAGCTACGAAGCGGTGCTACCAGGTGTGAAATTGCCATCTGTCTTATACTACCCCAGTAAATAAATTTTTCTTTCTTTACTCTATACGTTTTGGTTGTTAATATGCGGCACCATAAATTTAGTGTTATGTATCGACGGCGGTGTCGAAATTTCTACTCATGGACTCTACCCCAGAACATCGGGGTTATGTTTACGTTGAGCGAGAGTGTTTGCTAGTTTTTCGTTTGCTATGCCGGAGGTCCGCTGTCCTTTCGTATTTGTTGTACTTTCTCCCAGCTAAGTACTCAGTACAGGCATCCTCAAGCCAAAGCGACTAAATTTTGCATTTTTCAAATACCGATGTTTTTTATGCATAGCAGTGTCGTATCATCGGTCATAACTGGTGTTCCACTCAAATCTTTACCTGAGAGCCGGGTGAGCAGCAGAAATTTATTGTGTATAGTCTTAGTTCATGAAGTTGAGGTCGATAAATTATCGTATGTTTCGTAACTTATTTTCTTTGTTCCACTGTCTATCGTAGTACTGTACGGCGTGATGCTGATAACAGTCCTGTTGCCCAAGCAAATGTAATACTTCATCCACTTATTCCTCTAGTTATATAGCATTATCTACGCATGATAATTGCCATTTGTCCAAATTTGTGACCGTTTTAGTCGTATTTAATTTGGCATTTCATTGAAGGTTACTTATTGAATCGTCACCACCACGAGAACTCAAATCGACAATCATTAGGCCAGATACCAATGGCCCGGCATTTTTGGGGACGTCACTATGACAGTAGCGTTTGTCACTCGATCCCCTTTTATATTTTGGCTTAAGTATGGTGGAGGAAGTCGACTCGATTAGCGGACCTCTCTTAATGAGAACAAGCGAGGAAAATCAGGAAAAAGATAGTACCCACTTATCTTTCGCAAATGTTTCATTTTTAAACAGTGAATTTTCTCTGAAGCGTAGCAGATTTATGAAAACTCGCACGAAGGTATAATAATTATCACAAACAAGGCAGGGAGGATGTGTACCATCTTTACTCATGTGTACTCTAAGATCTGCGTCCAAACCGCGGAAATATTCTGAAACGTCGATTTATGTTTGCTGTTCAATTGTCTAACTTCACCAGATGTCGGACGGATACTTCGGGTTCTTATTGATTGTCTAGTGAGCGTTGTTTCTACATATCTTTATCGTGATTACCTGGATGTAAAGACCCTTAGGGAATATCCAGCAGAGCTCTGGCCGTTATCCTACGCTGTCATCTTGGTTTTATTCGAATGAAAAAATAACTTTCTGTAACAGTCGAACAGGTTCACAAATTATATTAATGGACAAGGTATTATTGATTGAATACTCTGAATTACTCTGAGTCTGAGGTAAACCAGAATATACTGCTCAATGTCATCGCCATCGCCAGAGGTCATCCTTAAATCTCAGGTTCCTGCTTGAATCATAAACGAATTCACTCCAACCTATGTTTAAACCTGAAGTATTTTGCCCCACCCGATCTTTTTCACAGTAACATCGTGAGGAATGTGCGCAGGAGCGAAACACTCCATCCGCCCTTGATAATGAAATTCGCGTATTTCTAAACAATGGTTATTCAGTGACTATTGAAGAGCGAACTTTATGCTCCGAGTGCGCGATGATGAAACCTTGTCAGAACGTACCTACGAAAATTCTGTACATACCCAAAATATTTCAGCCAATCATAAGATACTCCAAAACATGATATTTAGGGTCTACGTTAGTTTCGGGATGCTTCGGTTGAAGAAGTACATCCTGAGCATCTTTGAAGAGGCACTGAATGTGGTTCACAGCGTCGAGCTGGGAAGCCGCGAAAAAAACATGGATATATCTACCGGAAATTGAATGTTTTCAGTCAAGAGTACTTGTGATACAGCGCCCTGGGAACGCATCATTGTTCTGAACTCTGAATCATGGGTGTTCCTGTTTGGGTCATTCGACTAACTTAAATAATACTCAATGGGTGGAAATTGGTAGAAGGCAGTTAAATGTGTGTTTGACTCTTGACACCGAAGTTATGCAAAAAGTGCCCGGATATCCAGCTGCAGAATAACGAGTAAACGACGTTTGGAAGCGCTGTGGGTTTGCATCAGCAGCAAGCAACAACTTATTCAAGTTCGTGAATGACGGAGATGTTGATAATAATACAAAGCTACCGAGCATCTTGCTCTAAGCTTGAAGACTAAAGCACTTAACATGGTTAAAAACATGCCGGAAATGAGGATTTTCACATCAGTTTCAAATCAGTATGATGCGATCGAATGACAAATGCTGTAGTGCAAGAGTGATCAGAATATTTAACCAAAGCGATCCGTGATGGTGGAAGGACCATAGCCTCGTTACGTAGCGTATACTGAACAGAGACCCTGGTGGCAGATGGCAGCCAGGAACACCTCCAACAAGATGGAAAGATCTCGTTAGAATCGACACGATATCAAAAGTGCTGAAAAATGAACATAACGTTCATTCGATTCAGGTGAAGTGCATGTACCATACCCGAATTGGTCTTCGACCCAGTGGGAGTAAGGAATAGGACAATATATAAGGAAATTCATAGCCTGATCATCAGTTGTGTCCTGACGATGCTACCGCATGCTTATCGAAAAGCGCTGGCAATAAATGCAGTCTTAACATACACGTTGTTTTTTCCGCCAGCCTTGAATCATTAAACCATCTACGATACCTGAAAGACTACAGTTGAATATTCTTCAGTTTGTTGATTCATGGTTCCAGCTCATTTCCATTAACTCGGCCATTGAATTAGAGTTTAAAGCGCTGTTTGTGTACAGTACGTTTGTGAGTTTAAACCCAGCGAGTTGAATTAGCATATTAATCGCAAGCATGAAGCTTTAGGATAAAAATACGATAAAAGAGTAAAACATTTGACACTGCTTCACTGGGACAGGGGTGTTTTTTTACCAAGCCTCGCTAATCCTGCTATTTGTGAACGTGCTGGGTATGAGCTTGTGCCTTAATGACAAGTAGTAATGAAATTAAACCGCGGTTTTGTTTGCAACCATTTTGAACACTGTTACGAAGTTGATGCTTATTCTTACTGCATTTGCATAAGTTATCCACATGAAACGATGCTGAGCTGCGTTGGACACCGGACATTAGTCGTTTTAAAGTAGTGCAAAATTATAAACGTTATATAACTGCAACAGCATTAGAGTTCTGATTGTTTACTCAGGTTTAGTCTGCAGTACCTAAAAGTTAAGAGCGTCAGGCATTGGTAGTGACTTCCTGCTATTTATGGTCCTTGGTCAAAAAGACTAAAAACTGTGGACGTGTATGTTGTTCGTGACCATTGAAAAAGTGGAGCATTTTGAATAAGGGTGACTCAGATGCACGTATGTTTGCAACTGTTTGCTTGTCATTGCCAAGAACTGCTGTAGAACGTCTCTATCCTATTTGTCATGACCGGCGCCTAATTCGTCTTTCTACTACTTTAAGTTCAATGCAGCGGCTGCCACCTAGCAGAAAGAAAAATTGAATTAAGAACGATGACCTCGTTTCACTTTGTTTATTCATGTTGTGCCCAAGCTTCTTGGTCACCATCTGACTGCACTGGTTTCGACTTGCCTTGAGAAGCTAGAATTCTGAACTGAAAATCTTACTCTCAGTCAGTTTGTAATTCTAATATCTGTAGCAATTGAGGATACTTCCGTCCGTAAGAGATTAAAGTCTTTCCTTACATG